ACACCAACATCATTCAATAAACCTTGTCGATATGGTAGCAATTGTACCAGACATAGTTGTCGATTTATGCATCCTGGACAAGTACCTGCAGGTACTATCAATTAATATGTTATAGTGTTATATTTAATTTTATAAATTAATCAATATGTATTTTTTAATTATTTTACTTAAAATATTTACAATATTATAAGTAGCATGATGAATGAGACTATTTATTAAAAGCACTTAAGAATTGATTTATAAAATTAATATACACAACAATGATTATTTAATGATAATAACTCATTTATTTTTTATTCACTTGAGTTTTAATTTAATATATATCTATTTTTTAAATAATTTTATTTATAATTTAGTGAGAAGGGTGATAAGTGGATTTATGAGAGACTTAAGGTAATTTGTAAAAATGATGCTGAATTGAAATATTTTTGGGRTGTCATTGGATTRGTTGTATGTTGATATGTAAATTGATTTGTTCAGTTTGAGTAATTTGAGAATATGAGATTTTTGTAGTGAGTGTTGTAATACATTTTAAGGTGACCATAACTTTATAATTTTTTTCTAAAGTCAATTCCAGATCGCAGAATACATTTTTCAGAAACCACTGTTTAGGACAATATTCCTGATATTTGATTATATTATTGCTTATAAAGGGATATCAGAAACCTGGAATCAACAAAAGAAACAAGTAGATAAACAAACAAAAAATTAGATGAAACGAGTTTTTGTTTTTGTTTTAGAGTCGGTTTAAAATTGAATTGGGAATTAAGGCATCATTGTAGCTTTTTTTTCCCATGTAGAAGAAATTGGTTTTTCCGAAGTTGAATATTTTTAATACTAGAAATCCTTTTTAGTTATAATATGTGGATTTTTAAGTGGAGGATGTATTTTATATATATTTTTTTTTAATCAACATAAAAATTATTTATTGCTTTAGTTCCAGAAACAAATAATTCCATGAGCTTGTCTCAGTTATATTACACACACTCATGGCTACCATTGAGTATCAAGGCTGAACTTGAACCTGATGGAGAATTAAAACTATTTAAATATGATGACGAAGAAGAAGATTGTAAATCTTCCAATATATATGATTTGCACGCTGTTGTATGTTATATACATGAAGATCGTAAAAATCTTGTATCTATAGTGAACGTGAGCAAAGCTTATCATGAACATATATCAGCTAGTAACCCATCATCTCAATGGTACATATTCAATGATATAAGTGTGTCCCCAGTCATAGGACAAGAAGCCGTTTGGTTTAGTTTGGATTGGAAAATTCCTTGTATTTTATATTGGGTGTCAAGAAATAATGAAGTCAATATTGATATTGGAAGTGATGCTAGTGACCCGGTTATTACAGCTAAAGTGTTCACTGAAAGTGTTTATTTGAATTCTTCATCAAATAGTAATGATGTTATTTTAGATGAAGAAATTCCTAAATCAGGTACATTTATAAGAAATATAAATAAATAAAAAAAAAATATTTAACAAATCATTTTTTAGGTGAACTGGTAGCTATTGACGCTGAATTTGTTACTCTTAATCAAGAAGAATCTGAAATAAGAAGTGATGGTCGATTGGCCACAATTAAACCTGTACAAATGGCTGTGGCAAGAATATCATGTATTCGAGGGTAAATAACTTTAATTCTCAATTTTAAAATGATATTTTATTTTCAACACTTGAATGTTAACAGTGAAGGTCCAAATGAAGGCAAACCTTTTATAGATGATTATATTTCAACTCAAGAGCAAGTTGTTGATTACCTTACAAAATTTTCCGGTATCAATCCTGGTGATTTAGACATTAGCAGAAGTTCTAAAAATCTTACCACTCTCAAGTCCACGTATATGAAATTGCGGTATTTGGTTGACAATGGAATTAAGTTTATTGGCCATGGTCTATACAATGATTTTAGGTTAGAAACTTTTTTTTATGCTAAATGTTTTATCAAAGATGATTAAAGACTAACATTTAAATCTGACTATCTAATACTTATTTTYCTTGTATTAATATATTCAAATAACTTTTCATTAAGTACAGTCTACAATGTCTACATATTATTGATTTTAAGAGAGATATTATGAAAAGTCACATTTTAAAATTGAATTTATAAAATTGTTTTTTTGTAAAAGTACATTATTTGAAAATCATTCTTTAACTGTCATTATTAATTTTATGTTTTTACTACATACATCTTGTGTAATTATGTATATATTAATATTTGTAGAATGATCAACTTGATGGTACCACCTGAACAAGTAATCGATACTGTAGCCTTATTCCGACTTCCACATCAACGGAATGTATCGCTGCGTTTTTTAGCCTGGCACTTTTTAGGGAATAAAATTCAATCTCTTACTCATGACTCTGTTGAAGATGCTCGGGCTGCATTACAATTATATCAATGTTACAAAACACTTGAAAAAGATGGAACGTTGCAAGCAAGACTAGAAGAGCTTTACAAATGTGGAAAAAAGATGCTCTGGGTTGTGCCTGGTGAATAGAACAAATGTGTGATACTTAAATAATATATTTTCTAATTAAATAATTTTTATAAAAATAAATATATATATATATACATTTAGTATACACATGAGCATTTAAGTTTTTTATAGATATTAGATCATTTATAATTTATAAATAAGACGGGAATATTATATTATTGGATTGGAAATTGATAGTCTTTAGATCTTATGCTTTAATAAATATTGATTGATTTTTAATTCCAAAAATATTAAGTGAATAATTGGATCAATCTGTCAAAGCCTTAAAGGCTAACAATTTTTTGCAATAGATCTCATTCAATGGGCTAAGTAATAAATAATATAAGTAGTATATTATACATTTTTTCACTCTTTGAAATAATTTTAAATATAAAATCATAAATCAAAATCCATAATGATTATTAGTGTATTTAATTATTTATAACATTAGCAATTTGTATTTTATTCTGTGTTGGCTCAAAATACTTATATAAAACCGCAAACTTATTAATTTGGTTGAAACAAATAGGTGCCCATGTCACATGAAAAAACTATTAACATCATATTTAATAATTAAGCATATATTTATTTATATTTTTAGAATATATTGTAATTTAATATACACAAAATGAGAAATACAGTACTACAGTAGACTTATTTGTTATTATGATCATTCAAATTGTTTATAAATTAAAACACAATTAATATGTATATATATATATGCACATACCATAACAAGCAATAATATCTAAAATGTAATATTTAATAATTTTTAATATTTGAAATAATATTTTCATTCATGCAAATAGACAAATTAATAAATTTAAAACAATGGGAGACAGGTTGTTAACAATCAATCAGAAAATAAAACTCAAATTTATACTGATAATATCATGTTAAACTAAGTAAAATTATTTTTAAATATAATTGTAGTTATCTATTCATAAAATCATTAATAACATTTTCATTATTAATTACTATAATTATTAAATCCAAAACAATTATTTTATAATATATTAACTAAACATATAAACAATAATATTTTTTTTCACTGCAAATTTTGCTTAACAAGTTGATCTCCTTTGATGAAACACATTTTGTTTGGATTTTTAGGACAGTAACGCCTAGTGTGTGCGTTCTCTCCAGTTGCATAACAAAACGGGCATTGATACCTTTAAACGAATAAAATAACATAAATGACAAATTAAATTTTAAATCAAATATCTATTTTTTAATATTGAAAATGTTAATTTTCTTATAGATCAATTGTAAGGCTTTATATATTAAATTGGAGGCAAAGAATACCCTCTCTTAGTAAATTYGTGAAATGAGATCAAAAGGCACCTCACTCAGTGTGACAATAAGTTTTGAGCTTCTTGGAGGATTTAGGAGGAAATTGACTCCTTCCATTTTTTAATGCAATATTTGTTTTCACTCAGACCCAWGCTAACAGATCAAATGCTTTCACCTAAAATCGTTTTGAGTAATCTYAGAGTAAAATTACCTATTACAAAAWTKAAAGTTAATATTTTTGGGGGTATGACATATTGGTCCTGTTWTTATGAATATTTTACTTTGTATTCGACGTTCAAAAAAATATAAACATTTATGAATTTAAATTATGTTTAAATTTTGTTGAAACAATATTTAGAAAAAATCAAAAAACATACTCCCAAAAATATTATTTCTTATCGTTTGGTAATGGATAATTTTACTCTAAGTTACCTAAAAAATGAAAAAKAAATGATTCAGTGYAGTGCGTTTTGTTCATGTTGCACGTGAGCGAGAGTCCAAAGAGAAAAATCAACAGGCGACAGTGTACTGACGTCCTCCACAAAGACGTGTTGATCTTTGTTATATTATCATGGGTAATACTTGTTACATTTCAGCTTACAAAATAAAATTCTATTCAAGTCTGAGGACTGTTTTATAATGTTCGCATTATTTGAGGGGTGAAAGACGAAAGTGTTTCACCGCCGACTCATTCCCACCACTAAAATAACAGGCGTATGTTTGCAGCGCCTAAATAATAATTCGTTACCTACTGAATTGTCGTTGTCTGTACCCTGTCCTACACACGGGCAAAGATTAAACAATTGGTTTGGTACACAGAATTACGTCGTCACCGTACCTACCGTTGCAGTATCGGGCATCTGACTCGGCCCACAGGGTCCTTGAGGAAGTGCGACTTGTAGAACTCGGCCGTCTCGCCGTTGCTCTTGCAGAACGCGCACTCGCGCAGACATCCCATCTCGGACTTGGGCTTGGGCGGCCTGGACGAAACCGGAGGCTGACGCAAGTGATGGAAGCCACCGTTGTTGTTGTTGTTGTTGTTGTTCTCCTGTTGCATGCGGTTCATGCGCAACAGGAACTCGGCCAGTGTGTAGTAGTTGGGCGAGACGGGCGGAGAGGTGCAGCCACCGAACGACGGGAGCGCGGACGCTGCCGGACCGGCGTCCTGGCCGTGATACGCCGACGGACCGTACGGCGGACTCGTCGGGGCCCCGTAATTTCGCAGATAGTGCAGCGCCGACTCAACGCTGGCCGTGTGCTGGCAGACACCCGTCGCATTCCCATCGTCCGTGGCCGTGGTCAAGCACAGAGCGCATCGGTTCTGGTACTGTGGCGCCTGGGTCTGGCTGCCGAACGCGAATCTGCTACGGTCGCTCATTGTGTAATGATATCGTCTGCACACACACACACACACATGCACACGTTTTATTTCAAAATTAACGCAATAGTTTWATATTATTATATTATTATGTTTTTTATAATTATTCGGGCACTAGAAAAATATGAAAACACGCGGGATTAAAAAAAAATATCGACTGATTAAAATAATTAATTTCATTATAATTTCCTAGTACACAACGAGCAAAAGACCTAGTCGTTGATTTTTTGCAATCTTAATTACTGGTACTAAAATACTTTAAGAAAGTGTATGCTTAATATGATAAAAAGGACGGCACGCGGGCGCATTTGTTTTCTCCGTCTTTCAAAAGTATAACAATTCAAATTTTACGTTCGCAATTATATATTTCATTCTGTATTTTCTAAAATTAGACTGAATTTACATTTCATAAAATTTAAAGGCATGAATAATATTTAGGACTTCCCGGAGAATTTTTTGAGAGGTAAATTCAGTCTAATTTTAGAAATTTAGAGAGGTAAATGTTTAATTGTGAACATAAAATTTGACGTCTTGCGTGTGTAAGACGGAGAAAACAAAGCCCGAGCGGCATCCTCTTGAGACTGATTAATTGAAAAGAATCTTATGCAGTTATGCTCAACCTTCAAAGTATGCAAAATTGAATTTCATGTATTCACTAGGTACTTAAACTTTAAAGGCACTTATAACTAAAAAGAAATTAATAATGAATAATTTAAAGATTAAATAGGTTAAATTGGAATTAATCATACACGTCATCATTTCCATCAAAATTAAAAAATAAAGT